TTGTGATCTATAAAGCTTAACAATTAAATCTGTAGATCTCAATCAATTGAAAATATTAATATGCAAAAGTCATCCAAATGTTGTGTTTTCTAATAATCTTGAAAAGCAGTTTTGTTATATATTTTCCATGGTTAATATTAAGCAAGAGAAACATTCATGTTTCTTCAATGATACAGATTTTCTGTTACAACTGTCTGGTAATGTAATCCATTAGATGTTTAGTCATTCTATCATTGGTTACACGAATATATAATCTAGTTTATTGATTTGTAATGCTACTATTTTGTTGATTATCTATAATGAATATATCATCAGTCGATGACATCTAACATCCTTTTCAAATTTCTATAGAACAGTGTATTGGAGTTGTTAACGAATATGACCTCTTTTTGCGTATGTATGTATATGTTAAATAATACCAATACAACTTGACTATATAAGGAAAACAGCAACTAAAAAAGATGAGTGCAAAAACAAAACTATAATAGGTTCTTAGTAAATATGCGTCGTAACGAAATGTAGGAGCAATTGTTTTCGTCACTTCTTTTATTAATCATATGTCCTTCCTCCACAACAGCCTACTAATTGTCATCAAAAGAAATACTGATTAACTGTAGGCATACTATGCTAAACATAGAAAATAAACTATGTTTTATTTGTTTGACATAATATGTCGTAGCAATCTCAAGTGATGACAAGTTATTTGAAGACAAAATATTGATTTTATCGTTCGAATATAAAAAAATAAATAGATAAAAGAAAAAGTTATTGATGAGATCAAATAAATTAGAAATGGTATTTAAAAAAACGACGAATAAGCTTAATTCTCTTTCGCTATCTTTCTCTATTAATTCAACAATTACTTTATAAGTTTGGCAGAATAATATCAGTTGTCTTCTATTGTTGGTTTTTTTTTCATGTCATTTTTGATGTAGGGCTTCTTGTCACAAGTTATGTTGATAGATTTTTTTGCTTTGCTTCTCCTATCAACACCACAAGTTCTTTCGCTCCGCCATCTACGAGACCCATCGACAAAATATTGACGGATAGAGTACGGGGCAAAAGATAGAAAAATACGATGAAATAAATAGTTGTCTCTTGTGTTATACATCTGTGAGAAATATATCAGAAATAACAGAAATGGAATCCGATTTGACTAAACGTCGACCTTCATTAATTCCTGGATGTTTACCTGGTTTACCTGCTGGATGGACACCACTAATAGATTCAGTTCAAGAAAATGTAAATGATGATGATCAATATTTTAAAAAATCGTTTACGCCTATTGGACTTTCTCATTTACCATCAATTACAAGTTATGAAACAAAACCATATTTAACAATAAAAAAATTTTATCTAAAGGATCATCCACCAATGTCAATGGCACATACACATGGTATATGTGTTTTAAATACCGAAGCCGAAGAAATCATAGCTTGTGATCATTATAATAATCGTTTACTTATGTTTGATTCAAACAAAGATGGACGTTTATTAGAAATATTTCGTGGTGATATGGCAACACCGGAATGTGTTACACCACGACCACATTATCAACATCAAATTTATATAACAAAAGCACATTCAATTTCGTTATATGATTTAGAAAAAAAACATTTCATACAAAAATTAGGTACTGAAGAAAGTGGTCATGCTAATAATCGATTCAATTCACCTTGTGGTATTGTTGTTGATCCAGCTAACGGGTAAATTCATATTGTGCAAGACAAATATAATATTCTATTGTTTATTTGTTTGTTTTCTTATTTCTTCCCAGAGAAATTTATATGTGCGATACATGGAATCATCGAATTTGTGTTTTTTCACCAGATTTTCGTTATATTAATCGGCGTTGGTATTTAACACGATGGCAACAAGCACATCATAAAATAAAACCAAATTTTCTTGCTATTAATCGAAGTAATGAATGTGTTGTTACATGTGATGATGCACCAAATTATCGTGGTGCTGTTTATGTTTTTGATAAAATGGGTTATATCAAGAAAATATATGATCATGAGTCGCGTAATAAACCTCCGAATGCTGAAGCAAAATTAAATATTCCACATGGAATATTAGTTGATGATGAAGGTAATTGGTTAACATTATGTTATTCAGATCCTGAATCATGTTGGATTGAAAGAAGATATAAACCACATCAACATGAAGACCATGAAATTATAACATATTGGCAAAATAAAGAATTAAAAGGTCCTAGTGCATTAGCTATTAAACGTAATCAAACATTAGTTGTTGGTGATCGAGATGAAAATGCAATTTGTTTTTTTAAACAAATTCAAACCAAGTGAAACGATCGATTTAAAATGCAAAAAAACAAGATTGATAAACATATCAAAAGGTTTTTTTTTCGTTGCTATGTATATCCATATATGTATTTCTTGTGAAGCATTTCTCAAATAATTAGCAGTCTTCTTTTTTGTCGCTTATTTTTCTAATCTTCTTCATTTACCAATTTTCTGGTCGAGAAGTTCTCTATGTAATCAAAAGCATCGCACTATTTGGTTGAATAAATATTTTTGCATACCAGCACTACTGATTCTTTAACAAGAAGAACATAAAACAAACATTGTGCAATATATTACTTTTCCTTTGCCAAACATTTTATAATGATTCCCAAACAATAATATAATTAGATTAATGTAGTTTCTGTTGGTATCATATATATTAGTTTTCTAATGTCTGTATGAAACCACATCGATGAAAGATAATAGATTCATGTTACAAGGAGTTCTTCTGGTATTTACTATGTAGAAATGAGATCGGTTCGTATTTTCTGAGATTCATATAAAAACAAAACTTGTAATAAACTAAAAGATATATATATAAGAATATCAGTTTTAGATCGGATTGATTCGAATTTTTTCTATGGAACAGAATTAATACCATCTCTGATACTATACGCAAAGCAAATCTTCTACAATTAGCATGATAGATATAATAAATAAATCATATTCTATTTATTTACTTGAATTTTTTGATTGAATGATTAGCTGAATGGCTCAACCGACTTATAGGAAGTGCCTGAAAAGCTCCAAAACAGTTTTGTTTTGAATTCATTGTTCTACCATTTGATAAAATGATACTCTCTAACACTTTGATATATTATTGTATTAAATAAATACAAAGTTAAATGTTAGGAATATTGCATTAACATTTATTAATCCTAATGATAACACTTTAGACATGAGTATTAAAATTAATCTTAATCTTTTTGGTATTATTTATGTTAGATTTGATAAATACCAGGCTGTTGTTACTAAATAAACATTATTTCAAATGCTAATACATAGATTACTGACGACTAGATCTCGGACACTCTAAGTTCAGAAGTTCTCAAAGCTGAATAGAATTGTTCTATCTTGGAAGTTGTAATGCCGAATATAAATAACCTTTGCTCTACTTTTTGGAGTGACACATCTTATTAGAAAGACATTTGCTGTGTTGTTGCAAATGGTATTCTAGGGTATAAAAAACTTTTTGTTCTGTTACCGAGAACTTTAAAGCACAAACTCTTAGAAGTATATAATTGCAGATAAAACATGTTTTCGAATTAAAACTAATGAAAGTAATACCGTAGCATTATGCTTAATTTTAAAACTAATGTTGATTTGACACTTCTCTTTTGAGGTAGATAGTTTTTACTAGATATGAGAAAGTGTTCTTAGAGTATCATGCACTATTTCATCAATTTTCTAATAACTTACATTAAGAAAGTTTTATATAAAAACGCTGAAAAAAAAGATTATTTCCAGTGTTACTTTGGTAAACATATGCCAAATAAAATTTTTCTTAATGGATAGAGTTTTATTCTTATATGTATCAATGGATGAGTTTAACTGGTAAACGATATGTCAAATTTATTCGAACTATCGTAGTGAAATAAAAAGCTAAAAGAAATTAGATGATTTTAGAAGTATCATTTCATGAGATGATCAAGATTCTAAGAAAAGGATGTACGTGATCTTTGAATGCCAAAAAATATGGTTTTATCATATAAATAAAGCAAAGGTTTTGTGTTGTAAAATTAGTTGACGTTTGACCTATAGAAAACATATGGAGTGAATTAAATACGTATTATTAGGGCATAAGTACAATGATATTTAGGTTGTGGGCGAATGAAACATGTTCATCCATCTACATCGCAAAATGTGAAGGTCAAAATAGCTTGAAAAACATAAAAGTATGAGAGGATAAATTTGAGTTCTCGTGAATCTTTCATACTTCATGTTTTAATTTCAACACAATTGCTCCTCATGATGATTCATAATTATTTTTCTATTTGTTTTTTTTTGTAAAAATCTGAATGATATTTACAATAGTTTTATACGAAAACATGAATAATATTGAATTTTCTCATACTATAATCAGAATATTATTTATATAAATTATATCAAAAGTGATAAACTGATCAGTTGTGTTCATAACACAATGCTTGGCAAACAGGAAATCAAGTCAATGTAAGAATATCATGTTAATGATTGGTGTAAATACACTGTGTTGTTGTTAGAAAATAACACGTTTTTTTTTATAGAAAAAAGCTGTATAATGTGTAAGTATTTATTTAACTTTCCAAAATCAAATAAGAACTTCTATCTTGAATGATGAAATTTTAGAAAATACTAACTAAAAAAAAGAATATTTGAAGTTCTGAACTTATTATAATTTCTGCCATTGTATTCAAAAGTAGTTGGAACCAATATATTGAAATTTCAGCAATTATGGAAGTTTCAATTATTTCTCTAACTTTAATGTAGATAGATAAATACATAAATCTCTACAAAACGTAGAGTCTACTCCCGCCCTAAGTGAAAAAAATTTTCCGTAATATGATTCATTATGTGGAATTTTGTTAGCTATCGAAATTTCTGGAAATTCTTTCAGTTTTAAGAATGGGCTTCTCATTTCCAATAGATCGGTATTTTCATTGATTCACATTCATGTTAAAGAAATTTTTCAAACTATTAGAATTTCATGATAATGACCGAAACTTTTTCGACACCTGATGGAAAATTTCTTTTTATTTTTCAGTATTTTTTTCGAATTTCACTGTAAATTTCATTCTCACTTACTACTAATTACTATGAATTCGATGATGTTTTTTCACTGGCTAAAGCCTGCCGAGTTGGTTCCGAAGTCAGTACGATTCGGATCCCAAAGTATTGGACATAACGGTAGTGTTATACGGAAACAATTTTCTAGATTTTCAGTACTGTTGTTATGAAATGAACAAGTTTCATTTCGTGATATTTCTATCTCAGTGCATCGTTCTTTCACAGTGCGTTCACTTTTTTTTTTTTTTATTATGCGAAATTAAACCCTCTGACCATGTTGGTCCTAAAGGGACAGTGTAGCTTACAATTAACAAGTTACACAAAGAGAGAGAAAAGCAAGCATAAGCATAGCGGAACAAAGCAAGGAATATAATGCATGTTTTATATGGCCATTCAACGAAACATTGAAACACGACCTTCCAACGTGCACATACATTCCACCGAGATAATATATGATGTGTCTAAACAGATTGTTTTTGGACGATAAGATCAAAGCCAATAAGTTTGTACAATATATTTTTAAGACCGTGTGCTTGTTCGGGGAGGAGGAATCGAACCTCGTACGCTCTAGTTCCGAGTCAGAGACGTACCCCATTCAGCTAGGGCTCCCCGAGTGCGTTCACTTTTTCTTTTCGTTCTTCTCATATGGATTTTTCCCTTCCTATTCTGTGTTATCATATATTGAAATTTCTCTTTTGTATTCTTCTTGTAATTTGGATTTTTCCTATATTGGTCATCATCATGGATATTTTCATCGCGTCCACCTATATATAGAATGTGACTTCATAATAAAAGACATTACGAACAGGCATTCATCACTTCCAAGTTCTCATAGTCCTAATACTCTCGGAGTTCCTATTAGTATTTGATTTTCCGTGTTTGAGAAAAACTATCATAATGAGTCACTAGTTTCTGTCAACGTCGCACTTTGCACAATATTCAATGGTCTTCAATTAAAAATAAAATTATCGCTGTAAGTGTATTTTAGCAAAATAAATTCATTATTATTTATAAATCAAAATTTATCAACATTAAGTTAAAATAACTAGTGTCTTCTTTAATTGAGTTATGGACAAGAAGAAAAGGCTAGCACATCAATAATACCGAGGAAAAAGCGAAAACATTCAAGTGCAGAAGATAATTATGTTATATCATAAAACAACCTGAAAAATACTCCTTTTAAAGATGATAATCACAATAAAAAATTATAGTTATGACAATTGAATTATATTCTAGTGAATAATGAATGACTTTGTCTAATTTTTGTTGCAAGGTGCTTTTTTTATGGTCTTTTTATAATTAATTAGTAGTGCGAAAGTTTTCGAGAGAATGCCAAAGTTTATTTCTCAACCATGTAACATCGTACTGATTTCGATATATTTTTTTTCGAAAGAGCAAAGTTCGGAGAATATATCCTTAAATGAAAACAAAACAACACGATTTTCAGAAATGCGCATTTTTAATATCGTTTTTTAAAGACACTATTCGATTCCAATTGGAAAATTTTTATTAAGAGTATTAAAGTACGGCTTGACAGGTTGAGACCTGAATTGCAAAGCTTTGCATTCGATAGGCTAAGTCACTAGCACGGACTAATGTCCAGAATCGTTTAATCATTTTTGTGTTAGGGCCCTTCATTTCCGACATTATTAGAAATATCTGTAAAGTGTATTAGTAACTATTGAATTTTCAGAGAAATTAATTTCTCATCTAGTGGTGAGCTGTAGAAAATATGCTACATAGGAAATTTTTTTTAGTTTTGGAAATTCTTGTTTTTCAGAAATCTAAATATACATCTTGCTAAAACAAGTGTATGGAGTTTTAGTGTTTTCAAATAACGCAAATTTTCATGGTCACCTGTGTTATGAAAATAACTTCGGTGACTTTATTAATCATTCGTACTGTTGATAACATATGTTATTTTATCTTATGTATGGTGCGACCATCTTCCGAAAATATGCAATTGTTTGAAGCATGGCGTGATTCTCTCTTGAGTAGTACACGTATCTTCGTATATATATTTGTCCTGAGAGTTTAGTCTTCTTCAAATATCTTTTTCCTTTCGTTTTCGTTCTTCTGTTACTGTACTTGCATGCCTTGATACTTCTTTTTATAACGTACAACAACCATTGATAAAATTCTGAGGTATGTAAACTAATAAAAATAAAAGATCCCATATAGTACAGAACAGTACATAAACGATGAAAGGCTAAATTCGTTACGAGAATTGTCTCCAA